CCTGGGCAGTTTTGATTATATATTCGTCTGTCTCCTGGTTAACAAGTGGTAAAGACAATCGATAAGAAGGCCTATTTGGGCTGTTTTCCCTGAATGCAGAGACTTGTAACATTTCCACTTGCAGCAATGTGACATATCAGAGATACTTTATAAAATGTTTTTTTTTTTTTTTTTTAAATCTTGGAACCACTTTACTGTTATTAGTGTGAAGGGGATAAGTAGAGATATATTTAGGGTGGTAGTTAGGACCTTGGGGTTTCCTAACTACTGGGTGACAGATAATATGCATTTGGTACTTGAGGCACCATTATCTTGTTATTTTATTACCTCATTCCCCAACATTTGGGAAGTGAGTTGGATATGGTGTGTCCTATTTTATTATAACAAACTCCCACTCAGTCCCCACCTGCCATCCCTACGTGGGGGAGGGGGAGACCACTGGCATTTACCTCCTTTATCATATTATTTCAGCCTCTGTCTACTGACCATGGTCAGTGGTGGGTGCAGGTGGCTGGACAAAGGCATGTTTTCCTCCCTTGTTATTAAGGATCAGTCTATCTTATCTCCATAAATAACAGAGAGTCAAGTGTGAGTGCTCCTTCATAAAAGATAAAATAAAATAAAGCATTAGAAAATTACTTCATTAAATAAATAAAATCGAATAAATTAAAAGAATGTATCAATCAGAAAACCTGTATGAAGGCTGCCTGAGTTGCAAGAATGTTGCCAATCTGCTACAAACAGTATCAGAAAAATTACACAAAATATGAACACACATAAGATAGAAACATAGAATGTGACGGCAGATAAGAGCCATTCGGTCCATCTAGTTTGCCCAATTTTCTAAATACTTTCATTAGACCCTGGCCTTATCTTATAGTTAGGATAGCCTTATGCCTATCCCACGCATGCTTAAACTCCTTTACTGTGTTAACCTCTACCACCTCAGCTGGAAGGCTATTCCAAGATCTATGTGTTAGTGAAGAATCAAGGGCATAATCCACTCAGTGGTGCAATCAGGAAAAATGTGCAACTGTCAAAATGGCCCAGATGGTCAAAGGCCCAAAGTAGGTACAATATATAAAAATAGAGACCACTATAAACATTTGCATTTGGTTTTGCATTTATGCATGAGTTTATATAGCTTGGTGGAAAGACGAGACAGGGGGGATATGATATAAACATTTAAATATATAAAGGGAATCAACACAGTAAAGGAGGAGACTATATTTAAAAGAAGAAAAACTACCACAACAAGAGGACATAGTCTTAAATTAGAGAGGCAAAGGTTTAAAAATAATATCAGGAAGTATTACTTTACTGAGAGGGTAGTGGATGCATGCGTAATCAGGGTTTCTATTTTTCTTCTTACAAGGAAGGAAGTCATTACAAGAGACTAAAATAACTTCAATGATGAATGATTTTGCTGGTAATATCAGCATTTAAATGAAGTCTCCCTATCTGTGGCCATAGTAGAGGTGTTGATAGTGAATAAAGAATTGCAACACTATATTCGCTCTTTCATTTGTTTCATTATTGTTTACATTTGAAATACTATTTTAATGAGAGCTGTAGTTTGATAAATAATGGAACAATATGGAGTCTGGAATACAAATCTGTATTCCTAACTCAATAGTTCCTTTGTAGTCCTTTAGGTCCCCGATCCTCACCTGCAGGGAGAAACAAAACAATAGTTTTACATCCCTTTTTTCTCGTAGTGCTGGTCTCCTCAGGGAAGGGAGATTTTCAAGACTAGAATACTTGGAATTTGGGAAACAACCTTATAGACAAAATCATATTCCTGGTAAATCCCTATATTTTTCCAAATAAAATAATTTAAAAAGGCAATCTCCACTGAAATGACTCTTAAGAGTATAGCCAAAGTGAATGTCTAGAAGCATCACACAAGTACACCGTCAACTGTTGGATTGGAGAGCAGTAGTTGTGTTAGGACTTAACTGTTTAGGCACCCATATCAATTTAGGAATGGAAAGGTTATTATAGCAATTACCTTGTTTATGGACCCACTGCGGTATCTCTAGGTACAGATGGGATGATATGATGCTACTGAGAATAACTGATCTGTAATACAAAGTAACATTGAGTAAGCTCAGAACACCTTGAGATACAGAAATGTAGAGGGTTCATGTAGACACCGTTGTTATCGTTCTATTTATACAAATCTTCAAGCCCAGTTTTTTATGTACTAAATATATTATTTACTGTATATAGCACCCTTTACTAATTCTGAATGGCATTTGTTTTTCTGCAAAGTCTTCTTTAGCATAGAAATATCCACCTTTTAAACAAAATAAAGTGATTTGTTTACTCATTCTGTCTCTGATCACCATAGCAGAGGTGTTAACAGTGAATAAAGAATTGCAACACTATATTCGCTCTTTCATTTGGTATTATTGTTTACATTTGAAATACTATTTTAACGAGAGCTGTAGTTTGAGAAATAATGGAACAATATGGCGTCTGGAATACAAATCTGTATTCCTAACTCAATAGTTCCCTTGTAGTCATTTAGGTCCCCGATCCTCACCTGCAGGGAGAAAAAACAATAGTTTTTCATCCCTTTTTTCTCGTAGTGCTGGTCTCCTCAGGGAAGGGAGATCTTCGAGACTAGAATACTTGGAATTTGGGGAACGGCTGAAGTGGTAGAGGTTAACACAGTGAAGGAGTTTAAGCATGTGTGGGATAGGCATAAGGCTATCCTAACTATAAGATAAGACTAGGGACTAATGAAAGTATTTAGAAAATTGGGCAGACTAGATGGGCCGAATGGTTCTTATCTGCCGTCACATTTTATGTTTCTATGTGAATTACGTAATTTCCATTATATATCTATCTATGCTATAGCACCATCTGATGGCCATTCAATACAATTCATCATGTGATATGTGATTCTGCATCCTGTTTAAAAAAAAAACCAAAAAAAAAAAAGTGCAAGTTCCTGTTGCAAACGTGCATGCGGTCAGTCAGTTCTTTACATTTGGATACACATATACCTGTAAGTTTAAATATCATTGTCAGAGGTCAATTAGACTGCCTAAGGTGTCACATGTGCTGTGGTCACAGCTCATGCCTCTCGTAGAGTCTTACTTTCACTGTGAGCTCAACGACCTTGGGCTCACGGCCTTGAGTTTCGTCAAATGCCTCGCATATTTGCTTAAATTGTTGCTTTGCATTCTTATATGTTTATTGTAAGGTGTTTATATGAGGTATTTATGTCTATACTTGTATGCTCATGCTCCATACTGAAAATGTATTGTGATTCCAGGTCTTTCCTGTTTTATTACATTGCAATTTTGCAAGCTAGCTACGGAAGTACATTCCGTCAAGTTATTTCTGTCTGCTTGTAGTCTACATGTCTAGCTACCGGTAGTCAAAACAGCATAGGATGCATGTGAATAAAGCAGAGGCATCCACGTGTCACGGTTTCAGGAATTTTTACTATCGAAATGATAGTAGTTAAATTGCGCCACTTTTTCTCCTTATTTATACATCGGCTCCTTTTATATACCCTCTACCCCTTTCGCAATAAACGGCATCATAGGAGACATTGTTCTCAATATTCTAGGGCAATGTTGTCCCTGTCTGTGTTTGTCTGCGTTGGTGGATACATATAGGTTGTTGGATGCAGTGAGCTTGGTGACTGGCTGGTGTAGGTGGGTAGGGTTATGTGTACATGAGGTATATGATGGACTATGGACACTGGGTGAACAGCACATTTCATGAGGGTGTGCACACAAAGAGGATTTTTTATTTATTTATGGGCAACATTTATTGTTCTATCTCTCTTAACAGGGAAAGTTCAAGCCTCTGATGTTGGCTACCTAAGGCAGAAACTCTTGGGACACGAGTGGATGTCTCACAAGTAGGTGAGAGTGTTATCCACCTGTGTGCTGGTGAAAGGGGTTTTACATTCACTGTTTAGTAAATATATTATGTAATCAAAGTTTCTATTTTTCTTCTTACAAGGAAGGAAGTAATTACAAGAGACTAAAATAACTTAAATGATGAATGATTTTGCTGGTAATATCAGCATTTAAATGAAGTCTCCCTATCTGTGGCCATAGTAGAGGTGTTGATAGTGAATAAAGAATTGCAACACTATATTCGCTCTTTCATTTGTTTCATTATTGTTTACATTTGAAATACTATTTTAATGAGAGCTGTAGTTTGATAAATAATGGAACAATATGGAGTCTGGAATACAAATCTGTATTCCTAACTCAATAGTTCCTTTGTAGTCCTTTAGGTCCCCGATCCTCACCTGCAGGGAGAAACAAAACAATAGTTTTACATCCCTTTTTTCTCGTAGTGCTGGTCTCCTCAGGGAAGGGAGATTTTCAAGACTAGAATACTTGGAATTTGGGAAACAACCTTATAGACAAAATCATATTCCTGGTAAATCCCTATATTTTTCCAAATAAAATAATTTAAAAAGGCAATCTCCACTGAAATGACTCTTAAGAGTATAGCCAAAGTGAATGTCTAGAAGCATCACACAAGTACACCGTCAACTGTTGGATTGGAGAGCAGTAGTTGTGTTAGGACTTAACTGTTTAGGCACCCATATCAATTTAGGAATGGAAAGGTTATTATAGCAATTACCTTGTTTATGGACCCACTGCGGTATCTCTAGGTACAGATGGGATGATATGATGCTACTGAGAATAACTGATCTGTAATACAAAGTAACATTGAGTAAGCTCAGAACACCTTGAGATACAGAAATGTAGAGGGTTCATGTAGACACCGTTGTTATCGTTCTATTTATACAAATCTTCAAGCCCAGTTTTTTATGTACTAAATATATTATTTACTGTATATAGCACCCTTTACTAATTCTGACTGGCATTTGTTTTTCTGCAAAGTCTTCTTTAGCATAGAAATATCCACCTTTTAAACAAAATAAAGTGATTTGTTTACTCATTCTGTCTCTGATCACCAGTAAACCGGAATTAAAAATCCTCCAGTGACTTGAACAGATCAAGAAAAATGATTTCGATAAGAATATTGAAGGCAATGTGGCTTTTTTTGACTATGCTGATCGTCTACACTATACCCTCTGTATCTACTGATGGTAAGTTCAAGTAAATCTATATATGATATTTAATGTCACAAGCTGCGTAGTGTGTATATAAATATATATAATATTGATAGTTTGTATGTGTGTCTGGTTAGTTCCAATCATGCAGAGATGGTGTCTTTAGTGTATACATCCGATATTTAAAACTTCCAAACAGATATTTATAAAAAAATAATATGTATGTCCACACCAAAGAGATGTTCTTTAATAAAAAATATCACTTAATATGCAATTTATGTCCCTTTTCCCATCTAATAGGCATTGTTAAGTTGCAGTCACTAATGTATCTTAAATTTTAATAATTTGGCACCAGCATCTAATAGCATCTGAAAAGATTTACGTTTTAACTTCTGCCATTTGCTAATTACTAATGGCTAAACATTGCATTTTGGAACATGAAAATGATCATTAACGTTGGCAACCAAAATCTTTGCAATGAGTTCCAAGCAAGTAAACCTGTTAAAAAAAAAAATAAAAAAAAAATTTGCAATTACGATAGGAATACTATAGCGTTAGAAATAGAAACATGTTTTCCTAATACTATAGTGTCCTCCTCCCTATTTAGATTCAGGGTTCCCCCCGAAATGAAATTAGAAAAAAAAGAAAAAAATAGTATTATTTTTAATGCCAAGAATCACTTGATGCGATTGCTTACTCCACCTCCAGTTATGTCATCTTACATACATCACGTTCTTGGTTTCTCATTCAATGCAATGCTTCTCTCAGAGAAGCATTGTGTATGTGCTTGCCAGTTAATCCTATGATCAGCATTGGATAAGGTTCATCGTCGACTGTCACATAATCGAGTCAAACACGGTCGTTGCCATGGCAGCACCGTTTATTGGTTGTCAGCAAGATAGTCTGTAGAGGTGTGCTTAGCCTTGCCATCAATTCATTGTTGTATCCAGTGAACAACAATGGTTTAGATGTCAAAACTAAAATGACAAACGGTCTGCACCCACACCACTTCATTGCGATTAAATAGCATGAGTACCATTAGTGTCCATTTAACAATTAACATGCCAAGAAGCCCTCGGCACTATTTTGTGAGCATGCAAGTGCAAAAACATGTTCAACAAGCTACAAAAAACAAGAAAGACTCAGTCCCGTGTTCAATACAACACACTTAGAGTCTCACAAACTAAAATATCCTGGTTTTCATGGTTATTATTTCAATAAACCATACCCTGCAATCATGGCCAGATTTACCATTAGATGAGTAGGCACCTGCCTACAGGTGCATGTTTGATAGGAGTGCCACGGGTGCATACTCTGCCTGTTAATATCCCCTATCAGTATGCGTGATTGCTGAATTAAAGGGACACTGTAGGCACCCAGACCACTTCAGCTCATTGAAGTGGTCTGGGTGCAGTGTCCCTGTCAGTTTACCCTGCAATTGTAATTATTGCAGTTATAATATGCAATAATTACCTTGGATGGTTAACTTCACCTCTAGTGGCTGTCTACCAGACAGTCAGCAGAGCAGCCTCCGGGTCAATAGGCATCAGCTAAAACCCCATCAGAAAGCATTGAATCAATGCTTTCCTTTCGGTTGTCCTGATGTGCTTGCAACACAGAACATTGGCACTGGATTCCGGTAAGTGAATTAAGGGTTTTTAACCCGTTGAGTATTTTGGTTGAGGGGTGAGAAGGGGCGGAAGTGAGGAACGCACTGTATAGAGCTAAAGTGCTAGGAATGCAATTTTGTGTTGCCAAAAGAAAAGAAAAAGCCAAAAGGTTTGTTGCCTGATATCGAAACAAACTAAATTCTCCTTACTGATTTAAGAATTCACATCACCTGTAATCTGACAGGAGTTCAGAGTATTGAAATCTAAATCATGTTTTTATTTATTTTGTTTTAGATCAAAACAAATGTTACTGTTCGATACCGGTTTATGGTGACAATTTGGAAATCAGAGAAGCAGATGTGAGATACAGCCATAAAGTTGACCATAAAGAATGTCCAAATCTCAGATCTATTGGTTCGAATTGTAATGGATGCTTTCATGAGAGTAAAACATTATGTGTGTATTGCCGGGAAAAGAATGATGGAGAATGCCCAATAATCTTTGCAGAACAAGGCAGTGGGAGAGTTGTTCCTGAAAGGCATCATCTGAACCATGCAAGTAAGGATCTTTCCTACAACAGGGGCCTGATTTGCCAGGAATCAGTGCAGGAGCATATAGGTGTTTCTAATTTTGTTTAAATTTGATACATGGTGACTGTATTTTCTGACTGTAATTTTTTTCATGTACAGATGGACAAAATGAATATTGCGCTTCTAGGCTCCAATTTGAATCCTCCGAATCACAGAGCGGGCAAGGTAAAAATTCACATTTAAGTAAGTAGGACCACCTACAGACAGGGCCAGCCTTAGACTTAGGACATGTGTGGAATACTTAGAAGACATGCCCACCTTGCTCATCATCACTCTATTTTTTATATATTGTTTGTTTATACAGATAATTAATTAAAAACAAGTAAAAATAAATAAAAGAATACTCCCTTGGGCAAATTCTTACCAATCCAGGAATTGACTGAAACACATTTACCAACCCTTGTCCTTTTATTACTTCCAAAGGGACGGGTAAACAAATCCCATAAACCTATATTCTCCTTCATATCGTGTTGTGCATTTCTCTCTCTCTTCCTTCTCCCAATCTTCCAGCCCTGCCAAAAACTGACACATAAATCGAGCTCTTTCCAAACCTCTGCAGCCCCTAACCCCCTGTTACAGCCCCTGACCTAGCTTTTTAATCCCTCAAACCCCCAACTCCCTACAGCCCCTATCCCCCTGCTAGAGCCCTTAAAACCCACTCCACTACAGCCCCTAACCCCCAACACTCCCACCTCCCACTGAAACTCTTACTCCACCCACCCGCAGGCCCTACCCTTTAATTATAGCCCTTATCCACCCACTAAGGTCTAGTGGGGAGTAGGGGCTGATGTGTGGGGACAGGAGCTGCCCCTAATCCACAATGTGACACTTCCCCTACAGATACTAATCTTCCACAATAGCATCTATCATCCCACTAAGGGAGGATAGAGGGGGTGGGGTTAGACGCTGTAGGGGGGGTTAGTGGCTATACCGGGAGGGCACCAGCACACCCCTGGCACACTACACAGGGCTCCACATCACTAAATATTTTATTTTGTTATTTGGAGCTCACTGTTTTATTTTTGCCACGTAATCTATTCCTCTATCTATTCCTCCCCTCCTATCTAGCCACTGATCCTTATGCTCTTCCTCTCACTCCCACTCATGCCTTGCTCGCTCACCCATCTCCCTTCTCTCTTCAGATCATTCCTCCAATCATTTCAACCCATCCCTCCCCTACACTCATCACGTCTTCTCGCCACATACTCCTACCACTGCCACTCAACCATCACTTCCTCTCGCCACAAACTCCTACCACTGCCACTCAACCATCACTTCCTCTCGCCACATACTCATACCACTGCCTCTCAAGCATCACTTACTCTCGCCACATACTCCTACCACTGCCACTCAACCATCACTTCCTCTCGTCACATACTCATACCACTGCCACTCAACCATCACTTCCTCTCGCCACATACTCATACCACTGGCTCTCAAGCATCACTTCCTCTCGCCACAAACTCCTACCACTGCCACTCAGCCATCACTTCCTCTCGCCACATACTCATACCACTGCCTCTCAAGCATCACTTACTCTCACCACATACTCCTACCACTGCCACTCAACCATCACTTCCTCTCATCACATACTCCTACCACTGCCACTCAACCATCACTTCCTCTCGCCACATACACCTACCACTGCCACTCAACCATCACTTCTTCTCGCCACATACTCCTATCACTGCCACTCAACCATCACTTCCTTTCGCCACATACTCCTGCCACTGAAGCATCACTTCCTCTCGTCACATACTCCTACCACTGCCATTCAACCATCACTTCCTCTCGCCATATGCTCCTATCACGGCCACTCAACCATCACTTCCTCTTTCCTTCTCTCCCCATCCTCTGATCCCTACCACCTTACTCAACCTGCTGTCACTCAAACTCATCCCTTCTTCTCTGCAACCTTCAATCATTCCCTCCATGTCCACTTCTATCACACCCACATATTTACCTATTCTTATCACTCCCATTCCAACTTCCATTCTCACTTACTGCCTACATGCACTAGCCCTCCCAGCTACCCATACATGTGTAGCTGAGTAGCTATGTGTGAGTACATACGAGTAATATGTTTAGGTAGCTTTTAGGGATGTGTGTGGCTGTGATGGGAATGGGAGTGATAAGAAAACCTACAACCACACAGGTACAAATACAACACTTACAGCCATCCCACACCTATGCAAAACAAAGTAACCCCTGGCACACAGCCTGCTAAAAATTATTCCTGCGTGCACACCTTACTGAAATATTCTGCTCAGCCTGTGGTTACCATTATTTATAGGTGATTTTAAAAGTTTTATTCCATGGTGAAGAGAAGTAAGGCACATTTTTTTAAAGGAACAATTTGAGCACCATAACAACTTAATTGAAATTTAGTTGTTATGGTGTCATGATGCCTTTGGCGCTGTCTCAGTCCCTGGCGCTGAATCTCCCTGCTTTTCTGCCCTTCTAAATAAAACAAAACTCTTGCGGAATCAAGAAGCCGTGCCGCTGATTGGCTGAGAGAGGTCAACTGACGATGTTAGCCAATCATTTAATCCCAATTCATAAAATTGTCTTGAAAGAAATATACCTTGTTCAGGCCAGTTTCATGAATGGGGATTCACTGATTGGCATGGAGCGTCAGCTGACCTCTCTCGGCCAATCAGCGGTGCCACCGCCGGATTGTGCAAGTGCTTTCCGAGTTAGAGATTTTTTTTAAAACAGAAGGTCAGACACAGAGATTCTGTGCTGGAACTTTGGTGTTAAAACAGTCAAGAAGGTTAAACCTCTTAAGGTGAGACAGTGCCAAGGACCTTCTGACACTTTAACAACTACATTTAATAAAGTTGTTATGGTGCTTTATTGATTCCTTTAATGTAATTTTTTTAAAAAGATATATTTCTAAAATAAAATAACCCCCCCCCCCAAAAAAAAAAAAAAATGATTACATTGATTTCTCTCTCAATTTAGAGAATAAGAACTCTGGATCAAAATACTCTGCTGGGTCAAAAGAGCAATCAGCCTCATTTTTGCTGGTGATGGCGATAACTGTGGTAACTGTTTTATGGATTCACTGGTAAGGAATCTGTTACTTGTATCGTTCACTTCAAATATAGTCAAGAGTAGTACTACAATGGCCATTTGAGAACTAGTGAGTAGAGTTGAGCAGACACCTGGATGTTCGGGTACGCCAGATTCGGCCGAACTTCGGCAAAAAGTTTGAGTTCGGGACTTGAACTTGACCTGAACTTGACCCCGAACCCCATTGAAGTCAATGGGGACCCGAACTTTGGGCATTAAAATGGCTCTAAAAAAGTCCTGGAAAGGGCTAGAGGGCTGCAACAGGAAGTAAAATGTATTGCCTAAGTACTAATATACTTACCCAGTGGAAGAAGAATGTTACACTGTATACAATTTTAAATAAAAAGTATTCAAACATAGCCAGGATTCAGCTGTAAGCATTTGCAACACTTACAACAATCAAGTAACACACATTCATATAAAATGTAAGTTACTTAGCCAGTCAATGTAATGACAGGAATGAATAAGTAGATAACTCCCTAATTCCCACGGTATTAGAGAGCTATCTACGAAAAGGCTGAAAGACCTGAATTGGTCTTTCAGCCAAATTTACTAATACTAAGTAAAGATTACTTAGTATTAGTAAATTATGCCCCTACTCACTATACCGCAAGTAGGGACATATCTATGAAACAGTGAGCAGCCTATGGCTACTCACTGCTAAGAAAGAAAGTTTTCCCCCTCCTGAGCCCCTACCCCTGAACGGCGGGTGGGTCGCCCCCCCCCCGGCCCCCACCCCCGAGCGGCAGGTGTGGGCCCTAAAGTAAAATAATGGGGGGGGACCTATTGTCGCCCCCCCCGAGCGGTGGGTGAGGGCTCTAAATAGCAATTAGGGGGGGCCTAATGTCTTCCTCCCTGGGGGCCCTAAATTAGAATAGGGGGGCAACCTAATGTCCTCCCCCCTGACCCCCACCCCTGAGCAGTGGGTGGGGGCCCTAAATAAAAATTGGGGGGGGAACCTAATGTCCTCCTCCATGGCCCCCACCCCTGAGCGGTGGGTGGGGGCCCTAAATTAGAATAAGGGGGGACCTAATGTCCTAATGTGGGCCCTAAAGTAAAATAATGGGGGGGGGGACCTATTGTCGCCCCCCCCGAGCGGTGGGTGAGGGCTCTAAATAGCAATTAGGGGGGGGCCTAATGTCTTCCTCCCTGGGGGCCCTAAATTAGAATAGGGGGCGACCTAATGTCCTCCCCCCTGACCCCCACCCCTGAGCAGTGGGTGGGGGCCCTAAATAAAAATTGGGGGGGGAACCTAATGTCCTCCCCCCTGGCCCCCACCCCTGAGCGGTGGGTGGGGGCCCTAAATAAAAATTGGGGGGGAACCTAATGTCCTCCCCCCTGGCCCCCACCACTGAGCGGTGGGTGGGGGCCCTAAATACAAATTGGGGGGGAGCTAAAGTCCTCCCCCTGGCCCCCACCCCTGAGTGGTGGGTGGGGGCCCTAAATTAAAAAAAATAACCCTTCCTCCCCCAGGTGACTAGGGGTCCCCAAACCCTTAGTCACCCCCCTCCCCCCAAAAAATAACCCCTACCTACCCCCCTCACCCTAAAAATAATGAGGGGAACCATTAGCTAAGTACCTTTAAAAAAATAAAAATAAAAAATTAAATAAAACTTACCATTTGATGTTTTCTTTCTTCTAAAATCTTCTTTTTTCTGCCCCCCAAAAAGGCTAAATAAAAATCCATAATAACCGACGCACTTTAAAAAAAATAAAAAAAAAATAAAAAATCCATCTTCACCCACGGAGGGCTCCGCGCAGACTGAGCTCTGCAGGGCGGGGGAAGGCTTATAAAGCTTTGCCCCGCCCTGCAATTAGGCTCAGAGCACTCTGGTGGGTTTAAGCCAACCAATCAGAGTGCTCTGACAGGTAAATGAAGAGACTGACAGGTAATTCTCTACATTTACATGTCACAGCACTCTGATTGGTTGGCTTGACATCCACCAATCAGAGTACTCTGTCATTTTATACAGCGTGGGAAAGTTCTTTGGAATTTTCCCACGCTGTGTAATTTGACTCATAACACTCTGATTGGTTACAGAGTTTTATTTAGGGCCCTCACCCACCGCTCAGGGGTGGGGCCAGGGGGAGGACATTAGGTCCCCACCCAATTTTTATTTAGGGCCCCCACCCACCGCTCAGGGGTGGGGGCCAGGGGGGAGGACATTAGGTCCCCCCCTTATTCTAATTTAGGGCCCCCACCCACCACTCAGGGGTGGGGCCAGGGTGGAGGACAATAGGTTCCCCCCCATTATTTTATTTTAGGGCCCCCCATCCGCCACTCGGGGGTGGGGGCCGGGGGAGAGGACAAAAAATATTTTTAACAGTGTTTAATAGACATTCCCCTACTAGCTTATATAGAGGCTGGGTCACATGCTGCACTGGCCAATCACAGCCATGCCATTAGTAGGCATGGCTGTGATGTCTTCTAAGGGCACGCGAGTTAAATGCTTGTTGATTGGCTGCCCTGCAGCTTTTCAAAACGCGCCATTAAATCACCAAACTCGAACCTGAACTGTTACTGAAATGTCCAGGCTCGGGTTTGGGTTAAAAAAATCGTAATGTTCGCTCAACTCTACTAGTGATGCTTGCCAATAAACAGCTATGTGGCGAGTCTCCATTTTCTGCTTCTAGCATTTAGTCATTCTCTGTTGGAATTCGTCATGGAAAACTATACTGTAGTGGACTGAAAATTGAATACCATAATTTAGTCTAGCATAGGCCAAGCTGTGACTATAGTTGTGTTCGAAAATGTTTTCAAAATATCTATTTTCGCAACTTAGTTTACAATCCCCTGGAATTCACTGTTTAGTGAATAACCACTTAATATTCACTGATACTTAGCACTCACTTATCTCAACACCAGAAAATGTTTCAGTCAGATGTCTTTTTCCAGATCCAGTACCTGTAAATGCCATATTGGTGGTGGTGGTGGTATGGGTAAACTGGTTTGAATGTGTAAGTATACCAGTGAAAGTGTGTGTGCGCTAGTGAAAAGGTGTGTACATAACATTGTGTGTGTTTGACAGTGAATGTGTGTGTGTTAGTGAGAGTGCATGTTAAATTTGTGTCCATTTCATATATTGGAAGGCATGGCCTGAAGTTGTGGGAGGGGCTATAGACTACTTAAGGGACTCCCCCCTTCCCTTACTTACCTTCGTTGGTCTAGACAAACAGCGTGATACTCGCCAGCTTCTTTCTCTTCCGGCTCCCTGTTGCGTGACGTCACTTCCGGTGAGAGGACAAAAAAGCGGCACTTTGTCGATGTCACACCGTGAGTACCACTGGCTCCACAGCCCGACCGGCTCTCCAGCCCGGCCCGACCGGCTCTTCAGCCCGGCACCACCGGCTCCACAACCCGACCGGCCTCTCTCACCACCAGCTCGTTGGGGCGGTAAGCCAGGGGGTTTTTACTGGCTGGAAAGCACGGGAACAGGTACAGAGACTCCATTATCGTTAGGAGTCCCTGTTCCCGGCCGGGAAGGTTAGTTTGGGTCTTTGGGGGGGCAAACTACACGGCATGAGCGGGAACAGGCCTCACAGACCCCTATATCGTTAGGGGTCGCTGTTCCCGCCGGCATCACACAGGGAAAAGGGGGGAAGTGGGCTGGGTCGTCTGAGTAAGACCCAGTCTGCCTGTTTTGCATAAGTTAAAGGGGGAAGGAGGGCATGGTACGGGTCTGATGCTGGCTGACCCTTAGTTCAGCCATAAGAGTATTATACATATATATCTCATTACAAATGCCTTTAATTCAGTAAATACTGTGTTGTTCTGTATATACTGCTTGTAGAACTCTGGTTAATTACATTATATATTGTACTACATGCTTGACAAATATGGTAGTTATAATAGTATATGCATTACTTACGCTGATTAGATAATACAATGTCTGCATTGATAGTTGTAAAACTTTAAGGTTTTAAGATAATTAACCCTTTTGATGTTAAAGTACATTGGCTACTGGTGGCATTGTGTCTGTAGTGGGGACAGTACTCTCTGCGGTCACCCCCTAAGCGCTTACTACTTTCAGTTATACAATCTTATGTATATGTCCTACAAGAATACATTATCTGAATTCTCATACCTCCAGGAACCTCGAATAACCCTAAACAGGTCATCTAAGCTAAACCCCCCCTACTTAAGAGACTTCTGATTTCTCTTATACAGAAGCCAGGGCTCACTGCAGGTATGTTGGTTCACGTTATTTTCAACACGGCCGTTTAGTTATTTTCCCTGCCCCTTAGTCCTAGCGGTCCACGAGGCCAACTCCCATCCTCCACTTCGAGGTACTATACGCCCCTCAGGCCAAATCATAGTTAGCCGCCTTGCAAATTATATAGAGAGGGCGACACCAGTCACCGCCAAATACCCCCCCCCGTCTACTCATGGAGAGGCCAACGTCCCATCACCGGTGTAGGTTACCACGCCCCTCGCGCCAACTCATAGATAGAGCCTCTCTAGCCACTTGGCATTAGCAGGGCCTCACCTGCCACAAAACCTAGAATAATCTTTCACCATCTGGCACTAGCTAGCCACCTGTTAAGTCCCAACCCTGGTTACCAACATGTCTATTATATATTTTCAGTATGTCCATACTCCCAGACGATGGTGAGGATATGTCAATCCCAAGCACCCCTGCTAGGTCACTTACCCCGACTCGCAAGGGCGACATGGGAAGTCCCTCGTCCATCAGATCATGGACTATCCCCCACATCACTGGAGAATTACGTAAACGCAGTATCCCCTTCCCGGCTACTGCCAGGAAAGCAGAACTGTTCAAATTGCTAAGAACCGATACCCTTAATACAGACGCAGGGGAAGGCACAAGCAGCTCTCAAGATCCGACTCTCCATGCTATGGTTGCCTCCCTAATCTCTTCTATGGGGAACGTCAACGACAGGCTGGAGAGGCTGGAAGCCCGTAGCTTCCCCGTACAGCCTCCTGGCCCTCTCACCGAAGTAATCCCGGCCATACCCACAGCAATAGCGGGTAATTCCATATCCATTAAGGCAGCCGCCCACGTTATTAAGCCTGCCCACATGGTTAAAAAGGACACCCTGGAAAGCAAGGCCGTTAACTTAGTCTCACTGCTCATTGCCTCCCAGGATATTGTGGAAAACCGGTCTTACGACTACGGGGACATCTCGTGGTGTTAAAAGCCAGAGCCCCCAGACTCAGTAAGAAACTGGCCATTCCTGATTTTGTTCTGGCCTTCGGTATCTTTAGAGATATTCTATGCACGGTTCATCCCCATAGGAGGGAGGAACTGGATCTATATATGCATAAGCTGGTGGACCTTGGTAATAAGTATGGTGGCTATACTTTTTACGACTATCACAAGTCCTTTTCATCAAAAGTGTCTGCCACATTGTCCCAGTACGGCATCCAGATGGATTGGAGCCAACTGGACAATGAACTATTCCTCAGACATTTCACTGGGCTTAGGACACCAGCTTGTGCCATATGTATGTCACCCGCTCACGCAGCTAATTTTTGCCCTCTCTGTCGGACAGTGCTCCCGGCTCATCCTTACAGCATCCCCCAAGGGCTGAGAACAGACCAGAGACAAACTGGGTCGTCCAGTAGTGTACCTAGGCAAATCTCAGATTTGCAATAATTTCAACGAGGGCTCCTGCGGTTACAGCGCCTGCCGCTTATTACACTTATGCTCGCATTGTTTCAGGGCACATGCGAAATCTATGTGCCCTAATAAAATGTACCAGAAACCTTATTTGTCTCTGGTGAACGTTCCTGTGCTTGCATGTATGCTGTCCACTCACCCCTCCAAACACCTCGTTGAATTTTTATGTACAGGTCTCACCCAGGGTTTTCACACAGGGCTCATTTACATGCCAACAGGGGTATTAGAGTGTCACAATTTACAGTCTGCCACAAATCACCCTACTGCAGTCACCACATTGTTATAACTGGAAGTGGATCAGGGATTTGTCATTGGGCCTTTTGGTAACCCCCATTTTTCCAGCTGGAGAACTAACCCTATTGGGCTGGTTTCCAGCAAAAATTCTGAGAAACTAAGACTCATCATTGACTTATCCGCACCCCACTCCTCAGCCATCCCCAGCCTAAACTCATTGATTCCATCTGAGGAATTTTCCCTACAATACTCCACTATTCCACTATTCCACTACAATACTCCACAGATCGGAAGGGTGGGGGCTTGGCTTAGCAAGACGATATTGTGAATGCTTTTAAATTATTACCTATAGACCCCTCTTTGTGGCACCTGCATGGCGTTAAGTGGCAAGACGCTTACTACTTTTTTACAAAGCTCACCTTTGGGGCCAAGAGTAGTCCGAGGATTTTTGACACGTTCACAGAAGCTTTGTGTTGGCTCCTCCTCAATACCTGCAGGTGCCCAAATGTGATACATTACTTAGATGATTTTCTTTTCATAGAATCTAATTCCAACCCCCTATGTAGTCTAGACAAAGCAGTCAAACTATTCACCTCCCTTGGTGTCCCCGTGTCACCTACTAAAACCGAAGCACCAGACACAATTCGACCGCTGACCTCCAGATGTGGTACAAATTCCTCTCGGACTGGAATGGGAGGAGCATGTTCCTCCCGCAGATTGATTCGCAGTCACCGGTCATTTGGACAGACGCGGCATCATCCGCGGGATATGCGGCCATTTTCGGCACAGCATGGCTCTGGGGGACCTGGCCTACAGAAACACAGGGCATTAAGGGTTTTCACACTAACTCAGCCCTATTTGAAGTATACCTGATAGTTGCTGCAGCTGTCACTTGGTGTAGGTTATGGAAAGGTCAGTCCGTACGCTGCTTTTCTGACAACCTGGCAATATGCCACATTATCAATAAGGGTCACTCTTCCTCCTTGGTGATTATGAGTTTCCTTAGGAAACTGACGTGGCTGGCGGCTACTCATCAGTTCCACATTGTATGCTCTCATGTTCCTGGCATATACAACACGGCAGCTGACCAACTATCTCGCTTTCAATTTCAGGCTTTCAGACTGTCCCTACCCTCGGCAGCTCGTGTAGCAACTCCAGCTCCAACTTTCCAAGCCGTAGCACACATAAGGTTTGCAAAATATACAGTTCAAACTTACTGTGTGTGTCAAAAAGGCAGAAAAAAATCTTACCACTACACTTGACAAGCTAGCGAAAAATTATCCCACGCTAAGGTTCAAAATATGCCTTTTGAAATACCCTTGGGTGTCTTCTTTAAGAAATAGTATGCCTTTTTGGGGTAGTTGGAAAAAGCAGCCTGTTAAAATATTTAAAAATAGAATACGGACCCATCAAAACTATCTATGAAAATTCACACTTAAAAATCTGAAATTGACAGGTCTCTTTTACAGCACTGTAACTTCAGAAAATCATGTCTAGGTCATACATTGGGCATATTATTTTATTCAGAAGAGGTAACTGAGCATACGTAAGGGGAATTTATGACCGTGGCACTTATCAAATGTACGAAATACCCAGCGAAATGCAACATATACGTAAAAAAATCTATCTTTTTTTCTCAACACAAAATTTGAAATAAATTGGTGAAAAAATGGTAGCAAGTTAAGATATAATGTATGCCTAATAAGATACCCTGTAGTGTCTGCTTTCTCAAATGGAAGGCCTTTTGTGGGGTTATTTTAACAGTCAAATGGCTTTAATGCCACAAATTCAGACATATGACCATCTATGAAAATTCTAACTATAGAAACTGAAATAGCATGGTCTCCTATATGGCATTGTAGCTTCACAGAATAGTGACAAAGGCATGCAATGGGGGTATCATTATACTCAGTAGATGTAGCTGAACACAATATGGGTTTCTGTGCAGGAATAGCACACACCAGCTTTACGAAATACACATTACAAAAAACCTTGTTATATGTGTATATGCCAAAATAGACACAATTTTACGCCAATCTTCAGAGACTGGCGGTGAAATGGTTATGTAAAAAGTGTCAAAATAACCTTAGGTAAGTAGCCTGTGATGTCTACTTTATATAAATATATACATTTGTGTGGTAATTTTGTTTTCTGTTATGGCTACTAAACCTACAAGACAAACAGCTTCTAAAATTGTTTCACATTAACATTTTATTTTAGTCCTTGTATTTTGTGACCTGTAACTTTCAAAATAATTTTAAATCCTATACATATGATGTACTCTATAAATCAAGACACATAAATTAATTTATTTTGAATAACTTTTCCTAAGCTGGACATATTATGCACAAGCTATTATTGCCAAAATTTGGAAAAAAATATATTTTTTTGGTTTTCTTTTTCCCATTATTTTGCATTTTTTTGTAAAACATGCAAATTTATATATGTATATGTCACACCAAATTAAAGCAATTTTTGTTGTCTAAAAACGGTATATAATATGTGTTGGTACAAAAAATGAGTGAGATGCAAATTGCAGTTGAACACAAACAGCAAAACATGCAAAAATTGCTGTGTCCTTAAGGGGTTAAAGACACATTGAAATAAATATTGTTGTAAAGCTCTGAGATTTACTCATACACAAAACAATCCCTGGGAAAAAAAGATCACAGAGTAAGCAAACAGTAATATAATGTTTTTTTAATTTAATGTATAATTACCTTTAAATATTACAATATATGATAAATATAATATATGATGATCTATGTATGGAATGGACAACATTCTTTTTGTGTGATGGGGACAAATTGTCATCCCATTGGTCAATACACATAGCTTAAAATATATTTAGTAATTTACCTAATGTTACCTACTGTTTTTTTTTCTTCTTTTTAAGCATTTAGAAAGTAAAAAAAAATGAATTCCAAGGCAGCTGAAGATGTAATAGTTGCATTCTTGGTCTGGAGAAAAGTACTACTTCCATTGACTTCAGTGTCATTCCTTTCAATGAGATGCGTGGAGTATATCTCAAACCCTGGAGACCCAGCTAATGTATGACAGATTGGTTTCTTTTAATGATGTCTGTTTTTAATGTCACTTGCATGTTTAAAAATAGGCCATGATTCATGTTTTTCTTGGTGCACCTGAGTTGACTTGAGCTGTCATTATTCCTGGCAGAATCAACGAAATAGGACCTTAAGGTATTTACAAAAAAAAAAAAAATACAAGTCACTTAAATTTATATTATTCATTGTTGGAGAATCTGTACAGCACAAATCCAGATAATCTCATGCAAAGTGAATTTGCATCTCCTTTGAAGGTACACTCCACACACCTAAATAATTTCAGCTAGCTGAAGTGGTTTACGTGTGAAGAGTGTGTCCTCTTTTTCATGTTACAAAAAGTGCAGACTTCAATAGAAACTGTTACTTTTATAAATTGACCTTGTTACACACCCCTATGTCTTTCATTCAGACAACTGGTTCTGTTACTTCCTGGTTTGGTTAGCTCAGTGGAGCTTAACTCAAGAGGCAGTAAATGCCCAGACCAGCTACACTGCAAGGACTTCTGATTGAGATGCATTGGGAAGTCTTTGATTTAACAGCCATATAAAGTCTGGGCAGGGTTAGAAGGGGAAGGCTTGCAAAGGCTTCAGACAAGAGATCTGCAGCTTTTGCAGTCTGTTATTAGACATACTCCCAATGAAAAAATGCATAATTATAAGTTTGCATGTTTTCATTAGGGGAAAAATATATTAAATAGTTTTTTTGGGGGGTTGGGGAGTGGAGTGTTCCTTTAAGAAATTCACCATGGGTGAAACTTAAGTCACAAGATATTTTCCAAGTCCACCATTTGTTTTTTATCCAAATAATGAGCAGAGTCAACTCAGGTCATACTCAAATTACACTACAGTCCCTCTTTGTTTTTTTTAACACGATTTCCGACTTTAAAAATGGTTTAGTGAATAAACAATATATCACAATTGTACTGTATTCAAAATAATAATGTAAACGGTCATTGATTGATTTTCAATACTGTAAAGGATGTTTCAAATTAAGATTCACTGTAGAATGACATCACATGATCAATCTGTGTATACAGCAGCCATATCATTTGTTTAAACTCTTAAGAACCAATGACATAATACTATTTCAGAGCAAACCAGATCCTGTATAAAAATGTAAGTCCCACTAATTTAATTGGATTTCAAAAGCAAAGTAAGGGTATTCTATACTGGTGTAGTTTCTCTTTAGGATCAAATTATGAATGGGATTCTTATATGGTTGAACATATGCATTGCTATCCTTAAAATGTGTACCAATATAAGTAAGAGATTTTATGCTATAGCTTTTATAACTTCAGACTTTATTTTCTGCTTTTTTTGTATTCTATTAAGTTTTTTTTTTTTATTTTTTTTTTGGAGGGGAGGTTTTTCACTACAAAGTGAATTGTGATAATTTTTTATTTAGGCCATATTAACTGACTTTGGAAAAATATAACCTGTTGTGAGTTCCTAACAGCTAATTTTAAAAACACTAAACTATCAAGGCACAGTCTGGCATCTGATGTAAATCCTTATGGCTCCCATGATGCCATGCACATAGGCCGTGAAGACACGTGTGCTGCACAGCATCATGGGAGCAATATATGACTGAATATGTATTCATATAGCAATATCGTGGCAGATGTCTTCAAAGGATGCAACTGTGCCGAGTAAATCTTATGAAGATATCAAAACCAGATTCCACAAGTCCTGTGGACATAATCTGCATTCTTCACTCAAAGATACACTTCAATACCAACAAGTTTTCTTGATTTGTGCCACCAATGCGGAGCTGACTGTTCCTCATTAAAAACAATTTTTTTAACTTGCCAAAAATACTAGATACATTTATAGTACTATAGTCCTTCAACCCCATCCATTAAATCACACCATAGGCTGCCTAATAGACGTCCATGCTGCAAAGAGTATTATGCCTATTTAACGCATCAGGGATATGTGAATGGGCATTTGTATGTTTATTTTGACCTAACTGTCTATTTATTGAGCTCAGGCATTAAAAGTAGCAAACACAAAGTAATATCCACGTTTCTCTGCAAATCAATACATAGAAATTAAAAAGAACAGAATTTACTTGGTTTTGTTATGTGCATTAAAATACAAAGCTCATTAGCAGACTTGCTTTGTAACTCTGTTTATGTAGGAATTGTCAGTAGTAGTCTATTCCTGGATTAGTCCATAAACCTGTCTGTTACTTTCTTAAAATGTGGGTACTAAACTAATTTGTGGTCATTAGACACAATTATTTATATACAATGTGTACATACAATATATATGGGTTCGAATCCCCACCTTCTGCAATAAACGCACAGAGATTTGGTGGAACAAAACCATCTTTAGAGAGATATATTATTTGGAATTTTATATAAGCGAAATGGAATTCCTGTTCAAAAAGCTAAAGTTATCTTTGAAAGACTGCAAGAACACTAAAAAAAATAATAATTATTATAATAATTTTTCCTAGCTGTAGCATTAATAAAATGCAAAAAATAAAATTCTTAGATCCAGAGGTTCATTAACCTACATGTAAAATAACATAAAATGTTAAAAAAAAATAATAATTCTATTGTACTTTTGTATATTACTTTATCTGTTGTTGTAGGCTTACTTTATAAAAATATCTCCGCTAAAGGCTTAAGGCAGTGGAATTAGAAATCATCGTATAGTGATTATTAGTAGCTCCACACTGCCCTCTAGTGCTTTGCACGGATAAAAGCAAAGACTGATTAAAATGAGAATGGCACTAAGCTATCAGCCTGCAACGTGGAAACATTCGACTTCGTGTTATGTATTTACAAATTAAATAAAAATATACTTCCTAGAGAATGTCCCCTCCTCCCATTCCATTACGAAATGGAAATCAAAATTTACTTCAGGTAAATCCCTCCAAAAGACATATTAATATTATATTTACTTATTTCCCATGTTTAACAAATGTGTCTATGAGATGTGAAAAAAAAAAAAAAATTAGAGACCCACACTTCTTTATTCTGTGACTGGACACCTCCATCTTAGCTCCCTGTCAATCATTGCTATAAGCTCTGTCCTTTGCACCTGGCAGTCAGCATACAGAAAGTATTGTGGCAAAGATGAATATAATTGAAAAAAATTTTCCACTTCATTTGTAATTTGTGTCCTGGCTGTGACTGGACTGAATGAGATGAACAGTCCAGTTTACTGTTGTGCACCAGAGTTGCAATTCATCACTGGTCTCCTCTCCAGGGAGATGAAATATCTTGGCTTATGTTTTGCATGTAACATGTGCACTTGTAGCATGCACAACATGGAATAAATTGGACTCAGTGAGCCTGAAGGGACTATTCCAGCTGCCTGACAGGCTTATTGGAAGGTCTGTATTATAGCTGCAATGAGATTTACAGATTGCTGAAGTTCTAAGTCACTTTCAGAACTAAACGTGCATGCAAGGTGCTTTCTGCATACCTCCGAACTCTGGAAGCCCTCCTGGCTATCAGCTTGACCACCAGGGGCAGTTTTCCCAAATTATTCTATAGCAAATTCCCAAATTATTGTATATCAATTCAAAAGAGCGCACATTTCTCTTCAAATCAGGATTTTTTTTTATGACAAGTTAGGCATGTAATTAAAATCTAAATCACTTCAAATGTTTCTTATTGCACGGTGTGTCTAATGTCAAAGTTCTCATCTCCTGCTCTGTTATTGTCTGGTAGAGCCTACAATTACCAGGCAGGAGATACAAATTTCTAAATTAAACACACTCTGCTGTAGAAATTAAACTTTTTTTCTGCTTTGAGGCTGTGTAAGTCTCAGGCAGAGTGGGGTGGGGGGAAGAGGAGAATTAGGTTGACATAAACAAAGTGTTTTTACTCCTAAACTACAAAAAAATTGACCTAATGCAGATCTATGCACCAAAACTGTTTAATGAAGCTAAAGTTGTTTTGGTGCAATAGAGTACAGTAAGTTAGCTATTTACTAACCTTTAATGAACACATATTATCTCTGCAGCATTTAAGATAAATGTGATTGGCTGGACTATTGCACCATTAATTTTCCATAGAATTAGTGAAGCAATGGAATTTGCTTAAACACATTTGCGTCAACATTATAAAACAACTTTTCACAGCCAGGATTATCTTTCACAGACAATGATCATGATCTTGACCCAGGTGGGGTCTAAATGTCGATAATGATTTTCACCACTTGAAAGTTTATTTCAATAAATTTGCACCTTGTTGGGAAGATCTGATAGTACACTAACTTTTCATTAGACTTTCTTCCTAAAACTACATTAATAGAAACAGAAAGTTCATTGGCTGATTTCTATTTCAGACAAGTGGTAATTCATTCTAGTTAAGATATATGAATCAATATTTATTTATACCTTATCTATATTCAGTCTTTTTTCCCCTAAATCGAGGAATGTAAAATCATTACAACAAACTTTATATTGAAGAAGAAGAAAGTTAGAAACACTTTAACCCCTTAAGGACCAAACCTCTGCAATAAAAGGGAATCTTTACATGTCACACATGTCAAGTGTCCTTAAGGGGTTAAATGATCGTTATTCACAGCTTAATATGAAGTGCATTAAATATATGGGGTTTATTCAGTAAAATGGATATTGTGGGGAATTTACTAATACATGAAATTATAGGCCGAGAGAGTTGAAATAAAATAAAGTTACGAGTTGCTCGTAAGTTGGAGATTTTTCTCATCTGCCCTGATTTGTTTTAAAATTTACAATGACCATTCTCCGGTAATACGATTTCGATTAAAACAAGTCTTCTTATATTATTAACCCCTTAAGGACACAACTTCTGGAATAAAAGGGAATCATGACGGAATATTTCCGTCATGTGTCCTTAAGGGGGTTAATATACAACAAAATACTCTTTACCTACTTAAATTGACACTAAACATTTATTCAGTGACTAAGGCTTGCTAGATAGGGAGTGCAAGCTACATTAAAACATTAAATAAATATTTTTTATATATTATGTTAAAAAAATTAATTTACATTAAATGCCAGACTCTACCATCACAATCCTACTTTCAATACAACTTTGTGATTATTTTTAAATCACAAGGTATTTATATTATCTTATTTCCACTATTTCCACCATTTTAACATCTACAAACATATTATCCTTAACGCACTTAATTATAGAGTTAATTTAACATTGTTACATGCATGTTTTTCATTTTTGATTATTAATGTTTTTTTCTTGATTGTCTTCTTCTTGTCGTTTTCTTGATTAATAAAATGTGCGGTTTTAATCACCTGTATGTTGTCAAGATTCTTAAAGTTAATTTTATGCGTTTTTCTGACTGTTCAACAATATTAAAGGCTTTTTAATCAGATTGTATTGGTTCATTATTAATGTCTCCTTTATTCAATCCATGCTGGCTGCATAACAACGTTTATTTGTTCGGATCTAGGATATGTTCTCTTCTTCACAGTTTTCTTTCCTTAAAGGGACACTTCAGACCCCTAAATCACTTTAGCTTGCTGAAATGCTTTGTGTGAAGAGTGGACCCACTTATTAATTTTACAAAAAGTGCAAATTTCAATTAGAAATTGGCACTTTTAAACCTTAACCTTGTTACACCCCATGACTGTCATTCTGACAACCGGCACTGTTACTGACAGTCATGGGGTCTGTACCCCGACGCTTGTTCCTAGTCACCACTACTGAGTGACAAGGCTTCTTAATAACTCACATATTTCTTCTTCTACTTCTTACCTTTCCCCTCTACCCTCTCATTTTCCTACCCTTCCCCGAAGTCCACAATTCCTGCCCCCACCCCCCGACATCCCTGACTAACCCCCCTCGA